CACACACACACACACACACACACACACACACACACACACACACAGATCAAAGAGGCTGCGCTGCATGCCAGCACTGTTTACTCAAGTTGCCTTCAGCTTCAGACATCACATAAGCCTCTGCCACCAGAAGCTGCTGCAGCTCAAACTTTACCAGAGAGGAGAGCTTAATAAAACAGGTCAGGCTGCTCTTAAGGCCACATAGACTTGTAAAGCAACATCATATGTTTTTTTATGTGAAGTCAGTGTTGTAATATTTGGCAATAAARTTCAAAAAGCCTACAAAAAAAGACCAAGTGAACTAACAACAACAGCCCACAGCAATGAAAGAGGCTCAGACAACCCAGCTGAACACTGATCGTTGCACTAACCTTCATCACTGGTGTGTGGCTCTGTTCCATTATCAGCTTCATCGATGGTTCCAGGCTCACTGTGAGGGCTGTCGCTGAAGGTGCAAATGCAAAGTGAAAACACTGTTAATTGTATATTTTTTATTCAAAACAAGCACATCTGAGATGGACTTCATGCATATTGATGGTAAYTTGCACCCGCCGTTCAACCCACCAGTACTCCTCCCCGCCGGTCATGCACTTCTCGTACACCGGCCCGTCCAGCTCTCGTTGATTAGGAAAAATGACCTCATGGTGGGTAATGATGGTCTTAATGACTTCGTTAACRTGCGCCTGGCACGCCACGGGGTCCTGGTCGTCCGGGATGGGCATCAGAGTCGGGCCGAAGCAGATGGCTAAATTGTACGGATCCATCATGTTCTCATCGCTGTACTGGGACAGACTGAGGGGACAGGGAGAGATGCAGGTTTTATCAGGCAAATGATTTCACAACGAAACTCTTAGAAAGACTTCAGATAATATAAATGTGTTACAGTGAAYGACCATAAAGATTGCAGACTCAGGCTTTCACAGATTTTCATGGAACCTAACTCCAAGTTTGTGAGTTTTCTAAATAATTACAATACAATCGACTCATTTTGTAACATAAATATTAACGTAAATACAGTTTTTTAAAAAACAACAACAATACAGTACAGTACATGACTCATGCCTTGTGCCCACGCTCCTCCTGGRCCGCAACATTCCTATCATCTAGTACTGCGTGGCGTGTAGCTGCTAACTGTTGAGCTCTCATGTTTTTGTTTGGTTCTCATTACATTATGACGCCACCCCAAACACGCTGTAAGCCTTTTCTGGACCGCGTACACTATTCACGTTTTTTCATGATTTGCAGGTACTCTAAGAACGTAAACTGTTYCACTGCAAACTGAATTCTTTGCTGTGAAACTGCAGATTTGAATTAAGCTTTATAAGTACTCTATAAATAAATATCTATTAYCTTTACTTACTGACAGAAGAAGTCAGCTCGTTTAACTGCAGCTAAGTCATCAGACATAATGTTTCTCTCWACCTAACTCCAACAATATAACAAGACTTAACTGAAAATTCACACAAAATGCAACTATTGATTATAGCAGCTTTAGAAAACATCATTGTCATGACCTGATGGTTTTGTAACGCAACCAACGCAACAGACATGTTGCAAAGAGATCTACTTTCAAATAGATTTAGATTTTACACATGGCCTAGATGCAACGCTCTGCATCTAAGTTGGAAGTGTTCTTTAAAACGTATCCCGCAAGCGCCACCATCAAAAGGTTTTGGAACCAARTCTTTCAAAAGGAAACCATAATAAATCTTAGAGTTTTATTAACAAGCTGGGTTTGAGAAGAAACACTGCAGCTGGAGTGGCTCCAGCAGAGAAAAAAGAAACAAAGTTAACGTCTTTGTTCTATAGGCAAACCAAGTTAAAAGGGTCATTAATAACATCAAATACAAAAAAAACAGGTATAATACTGCACAGGCTTATGAGTTTCCAGCACTGTAAGGAACTGTTAAAACAAATGTAGTGTTATATAYCCAGTTGTTTTACCTGCATCTCTAGTCTCTGTGTGTATGGTATACAAAAGAGAACAATATCTAAGTGCATTCAAGATACAAGGACATATTCTGGATAGTACCTGTGCAAAGAATGAATTCATCTTTGCTCTGTTTTTTGCAGAAAAACAGTCAAGTGATTCGTTGCTCAAGGTGTTTTCGTGTAACTTACTGATTGAGAAAAGCAAAAAGGTATCTCATGACGATGATGACGGTCCGAGGAAGAGTCACGACGATCTGCTGGATGTGATGCGCCCTCTCAGGCCCCGATTCCAGCTCTGAAACACACGTTTAAAGACATAAAGCACAAACACCAAAACGAGAGCACCAAAGCAAAGGGTTGTAAACATCCTGGAAAGTGAAATTTGACTCTGACGTGTCCTTTTTCCACTAAAGCCAAGTGCTCATCCAATTWGAAGCAGGAAACTTATTTTTTGGTGAACTTGCTGCTCACGGCAGACTGATGCGGCCCACACATGTCTGATAGACATCAGACCTGAAGTGCTGGTGTTTATATTACTTCCATGTGTTGAACTGTGTGACCTTTCTCTTCTCCGTAAAGCTGAGTTCCCCAAAGAAARAAAAATGTGTAAAGTGTTTTTTTTTCTATCTAGTTCTCTCACAGCTGTTTGGAGTGTTATTTATTTTTACTCACTGATGGTAGAGATGAAGTCCAAGAAACACTCCTTTGGGAAAAGAGGGTTTTCCAGTCCTCTGAAGTAAAGCTTCAGCACTCCCGCTACTGAGTTAATATCATGTTCATTCTGGTCATCAATCAAAGGATCTTCACCTAATGGAGAAAACGATTTCAGAGCTCTCAGAGTGAATCCTCATTTTTAGTTGACTTTATTAGTCTGGGACATTAAAAGAGAACACACACTGTTCAGACTCACCTCTCTCAAATGAGTTTTTGATATCRTTGACCTCCACCTGTGATCCCGGCACACGAAATATTCCCTGCTGCTGCAACCCTAGGAGAGATTCAAACCAGACTTTGACGGATTCGGAGCCACACGAGCTGCTGTGACCTCCAAAACCGCTTTACCAGCTTCACGACAGACCGTTGGAAACACATAACACAGAGCAGGAAATGTAATCTAGTCATAAAGAGAGATGCGTGATTTTTTCCAGGAGCGGGGCCCCTCAGCGAGCCCGCAGCATATGGTTTTAGTTAGAGGGATCTAATCAGTTTTCTGTAGCTTCATTAGGTCCAGATCCAGAGCTGAGGCCTTCAGGCTGAAACAGTTTGAGCTGAGGACAGATTTGAAGGCAAACAGGGAGGAATTGAAAAGAGGTTATGGGCTGTAAAAAGAAATGTTGGACACTGAAAATGATTAAAAGTAGTCCAATTTGAACTGAACAAACWATTTTCAGTAGCAACTTCAGGCTCCTAATATTGATTAAAGACTGACTGAAGATATTAGTTCTGCTCTGCAACATTTGACTCTAATTGTCACATTGACTCTTTTGTTTAAAGGGGACATGTCATGCTAGAGCCATTTTTTTAGYCAYTAAATACATTTTYATGAAAATTTGAATTTAGTCTCCCCTGGTGATGCAAAGACGACAYTTTTTTAAKCAACATGTAAATAAAACRTTTCTGCGCTGCTATTTAGTYGTAAACCTATCTATCAAACAGGAATAAACTGTCGTTAGAAAATGTTTTAAAACTGGAAGCCCGAATAATGCACAGAATTCCCAATCCAGTTCCAGGAAAAGGTTTATTTTCACATGTAAAAAGTCCATTTCTTTGTCAGAGCCTGTGTCAGAACCTGCTCTGAGTGATATGTGTCCTTAGCTAACCATAATATTTATAGAATACCCTGGTAACACCCCAGGGGGCGGTACCTCTCACATCAGCACTGAAATACTGGAAATCTAAACAAACATGTTGGCTCTCTTACAGTTTAAAGTAAAAAACTGCAACCAATCACAGAAAATAAAATATAAAACTGTATCTAAAATTCAGTTAATCAGTTACAAAATTTCCTTTGCCACTGTGGAAGCTGGACGGGGGCAGGGTGTGAGGCGCCTTGTTTGGATTTAAAGAGACAGCCTCAAAACGAGTTGATCTGAGACACCCCTCAAAACAGAGGTGAAAGAGGGGCTTGTGGAGTTACAATAAGGAGGAATTCAAACCAAAGCATCACAGTTCCACTTTATACAGACACCAACTGAATGATTTAAATGTGAAAAATAAGAATTTAAAAACATRATATGTCTCCTTTAAAGTTTAATTAGATGATGAAGCAAACTAGTTAAATTTACTCCATTTATTAAAATAAAAAAAACTATTTAGAAATGTTATTAAGAGGTTACAAAACTACAAAATAGATTTATCTGAGTAAAGACATGTAATAAATTAGTTTAAGCTTACCTACATGTTTAACATATAAAACTGGTTGAAATTTAACCYACTTAAATGTGATTTAAGTTCAATTAAGGTAATTTTAACTCAAACATTGGCTATAATTTACCTAAATAATGTGTTCAAACTGTAACACTAYTTTTATTGCTTAATTTTCAGCTGCTTGTTTTTGCAGTGTGGAGGGAGGCGGACTGGACAGAGGGACCAGCTGCAGTCTCAGCACTCAGTTTGTCAACTACGTGACGACCAGCTAAGCACTTCTGAGACAGAAACGTGAGGGTCATATTCTGGACAACAGTATCAGTCAAAACACTATGGTGATGTGAAACTCACCATACAGGTTGATGTATCTGATGCAACTTTCAACAACAAGAGGTATCGGTTGACCTGAATCCTACGAGAAGAAATCACATTTTAAATTGAAGTACATGGATTAAAAATAAAACACTGCATATTTAAAAAGTATAATTTAATGTTGTATGTTGCTTTTACAATATATGATTGCAATATTAATATGCAGCATTAAAGCAGTAATTCAAGTAATATAATAGTAATTAATTATAATAATAATGTAACAAAACATCACTTCAAAAACAACTAAAGCATGAACAGAAGAAGATAGTTTGCAAGTTTTGCAAGTTTCAGTACAGCTGTAGAAAAAGAGCTAAATGTTGTTAGTAAAATATTAGTTTTGGGGGGCTTATTTGTAGCCTTTGCAACATTTGTTAACATAAGTGATACCTGAATACGGCTACGGGCATTCCTTCTTCCTCTGGGACAGAAAGCAGCAAAGCACAGAGAAGCGAAGGACAGAAAAACAAAGTTTGATCAAAGCTCAAACAACGAACGATCCCTCTGGAGGTTAAAGATGGTTAAACTCAGGGAACGACAACAGGAAGGCCACGGAGTGCAGTTAGGATCRGGTACAGCAAGAGACAGAGTAGAGCTCCTGCTGTCTCCTGCATCTATGTCATCTAGAATGTGACTGGATTCAGACACTTTTTTTAGAAAAAGCCCAACAGATGAAACAACAGCTTACAGCCACTCTGTCTGTCTACAGCAACAGAACCACGGTAAGAGGGAGGATCAGAGGTTAAACTAAGGTGTTATTTCATAATCAGGAGCAGATGGAACAGGGAAAAGCGAAAAAACCAAAGTGAGGAAGAGGAAGAGAATGAGCGAAAAAGGCTTTAACTGCCTTCCCTGCAGCTCCACATGGGCTGCTCAGTCAAACAAACATCACCACCAGGAGGTACCTCGATGAAGGTCTCCATGTTGCCGTTAAACAGCTTATGGTTATACATGGAGCGTGGCCTAGGTTTCCGCATTTTCTGTGGCTTGGGGGGTAGGGTGGGTGGCCTGGCAGTGACGGACAAGGGGAACAAAAACACCAGTCTGTGAAACTATTGAACCAGACGGGAATAAAATCAAGCAGAAAGACATCATCAACAATGGAGTAGGAAAAATACCAAAAYAAGTTTGACTAAATTTATTTCTTTGAATGCTACAGATGAGATGGGATGAGTGAAACTTGAAATCACATTCATAACTATGTAATTTGGATTTGTATTCTGTAGGAAAAACACATTTTGCTGAACGATAAATTGCCTGAGAAATTCTTGCTATGAACGATAATACTGTTCGGAGACCATTTTAAACTAATTTAATGATACACCCCTCAGCTTACGCAAGTTTATGAAATATCCGTTTGTAGAAAGTAGTTATGAACTGACCTGGATCTGAGTTTGTGAAAACATTCACTAAAGTTGCTGAAGCTGTAAAATCGCTTCCCCACCTCCTCTATCCCAGTCTATTTATTCTRTTCGGGTCTTCCTCTGGCTTCATAAATAACTGTGGTCACCCTCACAATGCTTACTAAATTTACAGAAGTTTACAAAATTTACGTAAAGTCATGGACAGACTGGGAGCGGAGTTTGCGCAAACAACACACAACAACATCTACTGAAGCTGTAACATCACTACACACCTTCTCTATCCAAGCCAGCACAATTTATTTATTTATCATCCGCTGGCTTCATAAAAATAATTGCGCTCACCTGCATGCCACTTACAAAGTTTTAACAAAATTTAGTGTAAAAAAAACGAACTCTCAGCGAAACAAAGGTTTGACGCAGTGCCCTAATGGTGTCCTGAGCCTCCTCTAGCTAAATGCCTGTTCATGGGGCTCTCGTGCTACAGAGGTTACGAGACTATGAGTCCGCTCCTCCGTACACTAAGGAGTAGAAAACAAATAATCAGGCAAATGAAATTTATCGGCCACGTTTGCGATGTTGCGACTAATTGATTTATTGCTTATAGCGTCAGGCCTAGCTGATTTGTTACAACATTCAGAAAATCAACTGTGCAACATGTGAATCCTGCAGAAAAGGACGTTTTCAACTATAAAATACATCACTCCTTTAAAAAAAGTCAGAGAAATAMTTAAATTATAGGACACAAAGACAACATTTACAGTTTGCACTTCCACTTTTATACCTTTACAAGAACACATTCTTTAAGTGTGATATTTATTTAAACGTCTTGTGTCTGTTTTACATATTACCTATTTGTTTTTGTTTTAAATAAACTCTGGTATAAWTTTACCTTTTTCTACTACAGCGGAATTTTATAGTAGATTCCAGAGATGAATGGAATAAGCAGATGTTGGTGACAGTAAAGCAAGGATTAGAAACAGCTCACTTTTAAAACAGCGTCTTACCTTGTCGTTCCGCACTCGGCTCTCTCCCCTGAGGGAAAACACACACACACACACACAGACACAACGTCACTGGAACGCTTTCAGACTCATACGTGTCAGTTCGCTAACTTACCGGCTGCTGTCGGGTTTGAGCTGCTTGGTTCATCTCCCCGGAAACAGTTTGGACTCATGACGAGTCATGTCCGAGC